ATGTACGATGATCTGATTGAGTACTTTGATCACTATCAAAATTGTGGAGACGACTTCTTGTTTTTGATCCCTGGTAACATAACCACTTCACTTTGAAATACGATGGACTTCTAATGGATGGATTTCAAAATCAATGTTTAATACTCACATCTATAAAATTGTGATTGATTAATTTTCATACTTTACAATTTCATTGAAACACATGGGAATATTATTGAAATATTCCATGAATAAACAAGAACAGAATATTCAATTGGGAATATTCCTGGAATATTCATACCAGAAAATTCCCTGCACTATCCAACTGGAATATTCTAGGAATATTCACTTCAGAATATTCCTTCTGGAATATTCCCTGTATATTCATTTTGGAATATTACTAGAATATTCACATTTGAATATTCTTTGAATGTTCCAGAGGCACGTATTTATTCTAAGAATATTCGAAGGATATTCGGAATATATTCTTCTCTTTTAGCATATTCAGAGAATATTCTAGGAATATCCAGTGCTGTCTGGGTTTACTTTAATGATGTTGAACTTTGGAGACTGTTATTTTTCTGTATAAAAATTGGGTTTCGAATTATGAGTTCAATAAAAATGCCTCGAAGTGGAGCTGAATATTTCAAAACATGATAATAAACCATCTTTCAAATTGGATGCGCACTCGTAAAAAGTAGGTCACTTCATTCATTTTTTTCCGCTCTTTCCAAATATCAAAACCGACCAATGAAATTTTGCCATACAGAGTGTTGTTTTTGAGATAAAAGAAGTTTTCTGTTTTTCCTCAAGACGGACCTGGATTTTTATCCGGATTTTCATTTGGTTTTGATGGGTAATATAAGTGAAATACGAGGTGAAATATTTCTACCAAGTATGGATGGATTATACAAAGTGGTTCAGAAGTTATAACCAGATGAAGATTTTGCCAATATCAAGATAACGTCCTGTATCTCATTTATCAAAGACGGTAGACATATCGATGGAGGGTGATTTGGAACCACCGAAGTGTCCTCTATCTACAGGTATCGTATGTACATTTAAGTCTGAAACACCCTGTATACTATTATTTCCACTACTGACTATGAAAAATTAGTAAATGTAAAATGTCATTTTTTGCAGAGTTGGGCGAAAATAGTATATTACACACCGAGGTGGCAAGTGATTCATTCCTATTCCAAATTTTTTGGGATTTTCTCTCCTCGTTTCTATAAAATAAAAATATAGAAATAATATTCATAATAATGAAACTTCCTACCGAGGTTTACTATTTTATTTTCAACCATCATACCTAAAATATTACATAAGTGAGGGCGGGAAATGAGGGCGGGAAGTAGTGAGGGGTGGGAAGTGAGGGCGGAAAGTAGAGGTGTGTAATGCGAGGGGTAAATCTCCTTGGAAGTCTGGTGTACACTCTGTTGGAAGTCTTTGGAATTCTTTGGAATTCTTTGGAAGTCTTTGGATGTTTTTGGATGTCTTTGGAAGTCTTTGGATGTCTTTGGAAGTCTTTGGATGCCTTTGGAAGTCTTTAGAAGTCTCTGGGAGTCTTTGGAAGTCTTGGGGAGTCTTTGGAAGTCTTTGGTAGTTGGAAGTCTGGTGTACACATTTTTCCTGGAGATTTACCCCTCAGTGTAATGTGATACTTCCCAACCTTCAATGACGCTAGTAATGACAAAATTACATATATGGTTGTAAATGAAATGATTTATGTCATCAGCAGTATGTTTGATATGTATTTTTCGAATATCTACTTATGAAAATTGACTGTATATAGTCCGAAACATGTTCCGATAGAGATAATTCTTTTCAGATTATTGAAAAGTAAAGAGACGAGTGGATGACTTCGCCTGTCTTTGTTTCTGAACCATACATATTCTCGTATTATTTGAACTTGTCCTATATCGAAAACTGCTTCTAAAAATATTCTTGAGTATGTTATTTTTGGAGATTATTATGTTTATGATGAGCTATAGACATGTCCATTACTCATTTAGATTTATGAAGGTTATCGATATATTTCAATAATCGATAATTCCTCGAGTAATTCGCATAATTATAAGTGTGTACCATACAGCTAGACTTATTTGTAGCGAAATAACTTTTGAGACCGAAGGACTTGTTTTTTTGATGATGTTAACGGTATAAAAGCTCAGATCTGATTGCTGAGTAAAGTGCATCTAGGAATAAGGAAAACTATTTTCTAGTTCAGCATCTTCTTCTTAGGCGATGGAGATCTCGATGGGGACCCAAGCTGCGTCAGCAGAATCCCTGGGATAGGTGGTGACATATAATATTCACCATCAATTTCATACTCCAAATGCGACTGAAATGGAATTGTGATTTTCTCTCCTCGTTCCTACAAATAAAAATATGAGTATTATTTCAAACTATACGTACGTGTACTAAGTACAAATCAGATGTTTCGCCCCGAAATGTCACTGCGTTTGAAAATTTTCGTATTAGAGAGCCTTAAAAAAATCGGAAAAGTTCAATCGATTGTCAGTGACAGCTTGTTTTGGAAAATGTTTGAAGAAGAGGAATATGGATATTAAAAAAAAATTGTTTAGCAACTGTCAATTTCGGAAGCATATACGGAAGTTTTAATTCAGGAATACCACTATATTGTAAAAAGATGATTAGTACACTATAATAGCTTCGGTTTTGATATTGATGAAAAGTGCTTACAACCGCTTATTGTTTTGACTATTTCACAGTATTCCACATACATGCACTCAGAAATAATCCGGGCATACCACGAGCATACCTATATTTGATCCTATACCCTTGCGAAAATTTGGTGAACACAACATCTACACTGAAGTCGGAACATTCACCATTTTTCAGAGTCAGATATTACGATCAGCCAAACGAGTGTATTTCTGATTTTCTGAGAATTAACCGAGCGATTTTTATGAAATTTTTTGTGCAAACCAACTTGAAGTTATACTGAGCTGTCTGTTAAAAATAGTTAACTCATTGCTAGAAGGAAATCCATCATAATTTCTATTCAGTTTCATAGGAAGAAAAGCGTTCTCATAATCAGATGAGACATCTTGAATATGAATTTGTATAATTCGATAATCAACTAGATAGCCATGAAATAGTTTTTTCAGTCAAACTTCCACGAATGCCCGAAAAACCCAGACAAGAGTTTGAACAATGAAATAAAGCTACAACAGAATATTGACTATAGATATAGATCTTTCATACAATCCGGAATTGATGTTGTGTCTATAATAATATTAAAGAAACTATTGGTACTATTGAAAACAATAATGTGTAAAATAACATTCTTATGTGTATTAGAATATATTTGGGAATATATTAGATTTCAATGAAACTAGAATTTTAATAATTATACATATATAGGTACTTCATAATAGTTTCTATACCTAATATCTATTTATTTATCAAATAGTCCTCCATTTGCAGGAACTAGTTACGTGTTTTTATCAAGTAACGTCAAGTTACGTCATTTGAAAAAAAACATCTAGATATTTCAGGAACTTCAACACTTCGAAAAAATATGTATAACGTACCTATAGCTCTCTCTGCCACCCTAGATAGTTTTGTGTAATGAGAAGTAATTATGTTCTACATAAATACCTCTCTAAGTATCTCAATTTTATTCAAAACCATTCATTTATCGAGATTAAGACGTTACCTATATAGACATAGATACTCGCATAGGTATAAATAACTTATATCACTTCATCAATATTCGAGCAAAATGTATTTTCACAACTTACCTAACAATTCTCGCTATAGTCTAAATGGACAATGATGTCATAATTATGTTTGAGTGTTCGAACGGTTAGTCACGAATTTGAATGAAGAATATTCATTCAATATCATGGTAGATAATATATTTCAAAATCTGTTAGTCACATACCAAAATAGGTAATAATTATAAATAATGTGAAATGCTTCAAATGTTTTACAAATAGAATTATATGTAGGTACTTTGGTTTTAATTATTTATGAAGCAAATCTTGGGTACTACATATTATAACTGGTTTATTTTTTTGCACAATTCAAACATCTTCATTATTATTCTCAATTGAATAACCTAACAATCCATAAACAAACTATACCAGGTGCTCCAGTAGGTATACCTGTTCAAATGGGATATATCAGTAATTTCAAAAGATAAACATTGTTACTCCCGATTTTTATTGTGCTCAAACAAAAGGTCCTTGTATCCATATCTATCCTTGAGCATTTGAAATTCCAACTCCTGAAATTATCAAACAATATTCAATACTCTACAAAAATTGTTTTTTTTTTCTGTTTCGTGAAGGTAAACTGTTTTGCATTATTTTAATATTAATATTATTGAAGGAAGAAAAAGTTCCCCAAGTCTTCTTCACGACTTTTTAATACAACAAAAAAGTTACAAATAGGGCTGGGGCATGTTTTGAGCTTATCATAAGCCCATCATCAGCCAAAAATATTAAAAAATCCTACAACATCGAGCTAAAACTAGTAAATTGTTAAGATGGCAAGATTATGTAGTACTTGCAGGAATTGAAAAGTTTTGTTATATATAAAAATTTACAAAAATAATTACAAAATAGGAAAGCAGGATATTGTTTTTCAGGGGGGCCTGTGCCCTGTTATTAAGGTTCATGAAATTTTCATCGAGAAAAACATAATTTTCGAATGAAAGCACTATGGACTTCTACACACGGTTAATAATATTATTGATGTAGAGATATTCCATTGTAACAGGTATAATACTGGGACACCTGGTATTTAATTAAATTATATACATAATTCGAATCACAACAGCTTGTGCAAATCGTTTTTTTTTTCACTATTCCTATTGCCATTAGGATAGATCGGAAATATTCAATTTGTTCGATGAAGTTTGTTTTCGCATTCATTTTTTGAACCCTAACTCTTTTTAATAACTCAAATGGCATTGTCAGATTTCATACAATATAGTTATAGTAGTCATGTTATTTTCAATTGATAGAACTAACTAGACTTTTTTACAGAATATTACGAGTGATCTCAAGAAACATGCAGCCGAAGCCATCCGCCTTGAAGGTCAAATAAATCTGTTGACCTCAGACCATGAAACTAAATCATTATGGGGTCATTATTTAGCTGGCATACGAACTAGAATTGCCACACTTCTTTTCCAAGCTGAAAACGGAAGAATCATTGTCAGAGTGAGTAATAACAAATTTACCGATTTGTATTTTTTCTCATCATCAATAAGGAAATGCTTCACAGAAACCAATTCATTTCGAAAAAAATGATTCGCACTTCCTACATTCATAAAACTGAAATTGAAGCTAATCACTAATGAATGCTATATTTTTGATCCAGAGTTCAATATTTCTGTACTAGAAATCTGCATATTGTTTCCATCCTTACCATCCGACTTGGAAATTCAGATGTAGAATTCGCTAATTGATACTATATGTAGATGCAATTTAGCATGATTCTCTCAATTTACTATTATTATTGTCGGGTTCATCCGGTCAAATTTATTTTGGTGTTGACACATTACTCATTCTAAGAATTGGCAATTGCAAACACCAGCTAATTTTAGAAGTGCATTGCGTAACACGAATAATCAAAGACAATTTCTATTTCAGAACGCACAGCAAGTGCAAATCAAGAAACAAGAAGAATTGGTGCAATACCAAGAAGTTCTTGCAGAAATAGAAGTTTGGCTTCAAACTGTTAGAACGACAATTCAAAACTACGTCACCACTATAGAGGAGGCACAAATCGAAAATTACATCGACGACTGTGAAAGATTGAGAAGAGAGTTAGCAGAGAAGGAGGAGAAACTCAAAGAATTATCACAAATTTGTAAGGAGTTCGAGAAATACCCCGATCTACAAGTATTGGTGGTTACTTTACTAGAACAGTTCGAAGTACTGACTGAAACTCTTCACCAACAAGAAATTATCATCACTACTAAAATAACAACATTGAAACAACAACTGGTTGACATCAAACAACAACATCAACAACAAGCGAGATCTCCTACACCAGATTCTTCCTTAGAAAATACTCTCGATTCAACTTCTATGCCGATAGAGGAAATACCAGTACATGCTGACGTGAAAACCGTGAGAGAACAGTTTTCAGTTCCAGAGGTACCAACTAAACCAAGTGTTACCATTGAAACACAGACCGGTCGAAGTTTATCTTCGCCCGTAGAAGAGCTCACTACCAAGGACTTTACAGTAACTTATAACGAGCCCGTAGATGCCCAAATACAAACCCAGATGTCTCAGTCTCCAAGCGAAGCGGAACAAATACAACATAAAGAATCGATAACAATATCCAAACGCACAAGTGGCGGTCAAGAAACAATCCATATTGCCACGAAACCAATGGCCTCAGAACCAGTGCCCATTGTCGAGGAACCAGACGATGTGCTAGTTGAAGCTAACTACAGAAAACGCCCAGAATCAGAAACAAAACTGACAGAGCTAAACATAACCAACGTAGGAAGCAATCAACCTTTTGAAACCGTGTTCGTTGAGCCAGACGAAACCACCACTGAGGTTATAGTCGATGCAGATGGTACGAAGAGAATTATCGTGAAGAAACTTCACAGGACGGTTGTGAGGCACCAGCAGTCCTCGCAGCAACAACAGTTCTCCACGTTGCGTACCTTGACTGAGGGAGACGTCCCAGTGAGTCAATCGTTCTCACAAATCACTTTACAAGGACAGCGAAGCGCTACAACAGTCGCTAAAGGCGATGGCAGCACAGCCACGGTCACCAGCCAACAGTATGGAGGCAAAGTGGTTTCAGGAGCACCTGGTGGTGATATGGATGTACATGAATATCAGACTGAGCCTGAAACTCATTTCTCTGTTTCTGGCTCCAACGTGAAACCTGAAGAGGTGATAATGCAGGGAGTGAGGTTGCATGAAGGAGATGTTACTTTCATAAATGATGAAAATAATCAGTTGGTTCCAACCCATCACTCTCATGTTGGAGTTGAAGGTAATGAAATCCATACTTCTAGTTCCAGTGTTCGAGCAGTGGTTCAACAAGTAACTAGACGGATTATAAGAAAGACCAGAAGGATCATTCGTCGGACTGTGATTATAGACGGTAAAGAACATGTCACCGAGGAAGTAGTTGAAGAACCTGAAGAGATTGAGGTAACTGAAGAAGGAATACCAAGAGTGAGCATCAATGTCACTAGAACTGAGAATGGCCAAGTTGTATCAGAACAACAGTTTGGGGAAACGCAAACGTTTGAACAACCAGGAGTAACTGTTACCCGGAATGTTACTTCTATAATACTAGATGCCAATGGCCAACCTGTAGAGAAAATACCAGAAAATCTAGAAATGATTAGCCACCCTGAAGAGAGGTATGTTATCCAAGAACAAATCGCACCTGAGCCTGTATTTGCACCTGAAGTTGTTGAAATAATTGCCGAACGAAGTTCAGAACCTGATTCTATGAATATTATCACCAGTTTTATAGAAACTGAGAAGCTTGCTCACAGTATAGTTGAAAGTAGAGTTGGCGAAACACCTAGTATGATTGTAACACCAGACAATTCTGTAAAAGAAAATACTCCAAAAGACGAGTCTGAAAAACAAATCAGTATTGAAAATATTTCTATCCATACAGACAAACTCCTTCCTACTGAAGCTGAACCAATAGAAACAATCACTGTACCTACTTCTGCACCAGAAATTGATATAGAAACCACAACTACCCGAGTGCCAATTGATGATTCTAGTATTGACGACGCTGTGAGCGAAGTTTCTCCCCAACATTCATTGGATACTACTACGTATACGATTGACAAAAATGTTGAATCAACAAATCCGATAACTCTACCATCCCCAATAAGTGAAGTTGTGTCTATCACAAAGGAAGACATACGCAGTGTCGATTCTTACCCTGAACACGATGAATTCAGAATAACAAGTCCAGTTGCTCTAGAAACTAATGCATCTGGAAGAGAAAGAGAAACTGACACTTCATCCAAAATAGTTACTACAGATGTTGAAATTGACTCTCCAGTAACAGAGTCACTTCACTCTATTCCAGAAAATGTCAAAAATATTACTGTTGTTGCCACTCCAGTTATAACTGAAGATATGACTGCTAACCAAGCTACATCTGCCTCACCCATCGAAACTGCTTCACCCTTTACTGATGTAGTCTCGGATGTAGTTGTGAGGCCTCATAAATCTGAACCATCTCCTCTGAAAAGGGATGATAATCGGGAAGAAACTCCACTTTCCGTCACTCATGAATTCATCACATCCGAAAAAGAACATATATCTAGCGTTATTGAAGGATCTCCGAAAGCAAAAATGAGAAAAAAATCCTCGAAACCAAAAGATGTTTCTGAAACCTCTAGAACCCAAACTCCTGAACCTGTGAACAATGATATATTAGGAAATCATTCTGTTGATAACATTTCGAGTCCCTCAAAAGAAATAGAAACACTTCAAGTTGAGAACGAAGGGGAAATAAACATTGATGTCGCAGATGCCAACAAAAATATGGAGACTGTTCTCGATATTCCAAGTCCAGAATATCAAATGGAAATCTCTTCTACTGAAATAGGCAAAACACCGCCATTCAATGAAATGAAGATTCAAGAAACACAACAAATTACTTCACAAACCAAATTCCCATCAGGAAATGTTGAGATGACGTTATCACTAGATGAGACAAAACCGGAAGTTGCCATCCGGAAGTCAAAAACACATAGCGGTCTAACAGAATTCTTGGAGAATGAGCGAGAAACTTCTCATTCTAATCAGAGTCAGGTAATTGAACGAGAAGTAGTAGAAGTAGAAAGTAGAATACCCACACAACCAGAAGTAGAAAAGATGCAATCTCTTGAGAATGTCGAACCTACAGTACGAAATGGGCAACCTAATGAGGTAGAAATCAAATTGTCTCTTGAGGAAAAACTTGAAAATCCTACAATTTCTACTCCAAAATTGTCTGTTTCAATGAAAATCGAAGAAGGCAACAATATCGGAGTTCCATCTGATGTTCTACAAAAAGACATCCATGTTCAGTTGCCATCATACACAACTGAACAAATTGAACAAACCGCCAGTGTTCCCAAACTAGAAGATGTCTATGAAAAAACTTCAACTCCGAGCGATATTGACCATGGAGGTCGAAAAAGTAAGCGAAAAAAGAAACATAAAACACCAACACCTGAAATAGAACAAAAAGATGAAACTGAAGAAGAAAAACCAGATTCCCTTATTACCTCTTTGGCCGAATCTATTGATATAATAGTTACTGAGGATTCATTGAAATCCGAAGAAACGCCCAAGCCAACCCTGGAAGTATTTGGATCGGTTACTGATACTGATGATGAAGGAAAAGGCAAAGATACTGGTTACGAAGCAGACAAAACCACTGTGGATGAAAGTCTCGCCGACGACGATGACCAAGATAAAAAAATTCGCAGAAGAAAAAAGAGAAAACAAAAAGTCAAAGTTAAAGAAACCGAAGACTCTAATGAACCGAAATCTCCACATGAGTCATCACCTGCCGGTGACTCTGTGCCTCTCACTGACGATGAACCTTCCAAACTTCCAGTGGCCAAGGCAGAAGAAATCAAGAAGACTAAAAAGCGAAAGAAGGGTAAGAGAAGGCAGTCCGAGAGTGAACCCGAGGTGGAATCAGAAAATACTCTTTTAGAAGCACACGATGAAGAGATATTATCCCAAAATGATTCATATCATTCAATATCAACACCTTCAGAACCTGGTACTGTGAAAATTGTCGAAGAAAAGGTAGTAACTCCACCTATAAACGAATCTCCGAAACAGATAACTTCTGAAATAGTGACGACAGTACCAGTATTTGAGGCAGTTCTAACTCAAGAAAATGTTGCTCAAACTTCTCCAATACAAAATCTAACCGCCGCATTTTTGGAACAAGAAAAGTTACCGACGGAGATTTCGATGGATCAAGTTTCAGTTCAAACTTCTCCCGAGCCAATCAAGAAAATCGTCGATACGTCTATGCAAACAGTCGAAGTGGTTCAACTTGTTGAAACTAGCCAGCCAGACGTGCAAGAGAACTCAACTCAAATAGAAATTTCTACATCTGAAATAATTACACAAACGTCTCCAGAGGTAGTATCACCTGTAGAAAAAGTTGTTACGGAAACCACAGACACATCTATGCAAACAGTGTCTCCTATTAAGACGAAATTCAATGAAGAATATGTACAAACCATGACACCAGAATTGCCACAAATTCAAACTACATCGGAAACAATGGTATCAGATACTACTGATACATCTATGCAGACCGTTTCGCCAATCAAAGCTAAGATTGTGGAAGAATATGCACAGACAGTTACTCCTGAACCAATTTTCATAGCAAGAACTGATTCAGCCATGCAAGTAACAGTCCCATGCCATGAAGAATCTGTTCAAACGATATCACCTGAGCACACCGCTACAACAGAGGTTGCCTCACAGATACAACCAGATTTGGTAGAATTCGCACTACAAACCTCCCCAGAACCTTCAGCGCCACCTTTAGAACACTCAGAAACTATTCAACATCCTGCAAATAAGGTAGAAACCAGTGAAATCGTTACTCAAACGAGTCCTGTTCTTGTCGAAGAAGTTATTGGGTTGTATACCCCTAGTCCTAGCCCGCCTCAGAGTTTACCATCAGAACAGTATGAAATTCACGTAAAAGCTACCATATTGGTACCATCGGAGATTTCGAATAGCGAAGAATCTGTACCTACCAAGTCGAAAGAAGTGACTTCACCTGAGCTTAAAAGTGTCGAGAGCTCGACAATCTCAACTCCAACCATGATAGATAGCGAAAATATTTCGAAAGACGACTTTGGATCTGAAGGATCTATGGATGAATACGAAGTTCATGTCGCTATCGATGGAAAACCTGTGGAAGGGCATTCAGTTGTTACTAATTTCCTAAACGCTGAGAGAACTGAGGATGTTCCTACCAAACCTAAACGAAAGCACCGGAAAAAACAGAAACAATTGAAAGATGATGCAGGAATCGTCGATAAGAATCTCTTTGATCAATTCCAAAGGCAAAATACTGTCGATGGTACACTAGATCCCAAAGATTTGTATTCAGAAGTTACCAAAAACTCTAGGTCACCGTCTCCATCATTTAGAGAAGAAGTAATTATTCATGAAGATGCACCTAAACCTACAGAAAACAAACAATCAGATATTCTTCAACAAAAAAATATTTCTGTAGTAACCCAAGAGGAGAAACTAGAGGAGACTGAAGATCTAGAACAACCCGTGATCCAAGCAACCATGAAAGAACAGCATCCTGATAGTGAACACTTAGAAATACAGGAGTTGAAACTAGATGATCGCGATAGTGAAGTTGTTTCAAAAGTGTTCACAGATTTGAATGAGCAAACGGTCAAGAATATCTCGACCACTAAGAAAAAAATTGAAGAACCTAAGATTAGTGAACAAACAACTGAAACAGCAGTCAATATCTCTCTGACTATTCCTCATGATTCCGAATTTAATCCAAATATTCAAATTGATTGCGAAGATACATTGATAATTGGCGAGGAATCCACTCCAAGCACGACCTTCACTGTTGAGTCAATTTTAACGGAAGCAGAACTAAAATCTCAAGAACCACTCAATGAATCCTCCTGCACCACAGAAAGTCTCCAAGAAACTGTTGCAAATTCATTACTAGTAAGGACAAATGTAAAAACTGGTCCAGGGAATGTAACTTCAACAGTGGAGTTTTTAGAATCAGAAAAGAATCATACTACTCTACCTGACAATACAGTTTTTATCAATGATAAGCTTGTTCAATTGCCACATGTAGAACAAACTGAACTGATCCAACAACAGGTTATAGAGAAACCGACAGACAACTTGCCAGAACGTCTTGTAGAAGAACAGAAACAAAAGCAGCAAGTATCGTCAAAATCCAAATCGAAAAACAAATATGTCTCTTCGGTAACCATTGAAGAAGTCCAATCCCCTGCAATCATTGCAGATACGCCCCTAACTCCTTCTTCAGACGCAGGGCCATTGTCTCCTCCAGACTACTCATCCGTTGTTTGGCAAAAAACGTCACCTAAAGTTGTAACACATTCCTTCATAATGAGTGAAACTCAACTAAGTCCTGTTATTCTTAAAGACGTCAATATCAGATGGAATCAAGCTCAAGCCCTCGAACGATTCAAAAATTTGCAGAATGCCAATAAGACAACTCATTTGAGTAATGTTCTCTACATAGCTACCTTGAATGAAATTGTAACTGATGAAACCATAGAGCAACGTAATTTCAATGTACAGCAACAATTGGTTACATTGCAGCAAGCAGTGGAAAGGAAAGATGTGGTTATTATTCAACAAACTATTATCACAACAGTTGAAACTATCACCACCTGGCTAGAAACGATTGAGTACAGAATCTACGTCAATAGACAACAAACCTCAGAAGGACCATCGAGCGAACGGGTGCAAGAATTCAATGAACTCAAGCAAGAAATTTCTACTATAGAAGATAAAGTACAACAACTACAGGCCGTCATGCGGAATACTGACGACATATACAATGAAGATGACAGACAGCGGATGAAGAGTTACATTGAATCCTTACAGCAGCAAGTTCGCGTTATTGAAGAAGTAACTGAAGAAAATGAGCAATTAGCAGCTGGTGACCTCAAGAGATGGAATGAATTCATCAATGGAGTGTCAAATATAACTAGTCTGGTGAGAGGCATCAAGCGACAACTCAGCGAGTTGAAAGATTCAGACGCTTCACCACAATCCAAGTTGAATGAGCTTGAGAAACTCGAGAACAGTAATAGATGCCATATGGTGAAAGTCGCTCATTTAATAGCATCAGCCAAGAGCTTGATGAGAGATTTTCCCACCAAAGAAATACCCAGAGACGTATATGTTAACAATGAACTCAGCAAACAAATTGAACAACAAATTGTGATTGAGCGAGAAAAAGCTTATCAATATCTATCACTCGCTGATGAGTATGAACAAACTCTCAAAGAGTTCAGTCAGATTATACTCATAGCAGAAGCTTTGGTGGAAGCCCCAATATCAGTGCGCAACCTAGAACACCTGGAAGATGAAATGCAGAATCACAGGAAGTTCTTCGTGAATCTCAGTCACTGTAGAGCTATTTTGGAGTCACTCGAGGAGAATCTAGATTCCGAAACGAGGACTATACATACTGATCTCCATCAGAATCTGTATGAGAGAGCTAGAATTATTCTGGATAAATCAACAGGAAGGTTCCAGTTGATGTCGCTCGCAGCATCTAGATGGACCGTACTAGAACAAAGTACTAAGGAAGAAATGAGATGGCTTCAAGTAGCGCAACAGAGAGTACCCGATTTGAATAATGTTACTTCTTCGGATTACGAGAGATTCATAGATCTTTACAACTCTTTAGCTGTGGATATAGATTACCACCATGCTAAGCTCACGCATCTTAATTGCGTGGCACAAAAACTCCTAGACCTAATATATTGTTCAGGTTTAGAACAGGCCTATAGCGAGTCGCTAGAGATCATTCAGAAATTACAAGAAGACGTCAGAAACAACCTAGAACGATTGATAGCATTCAGAGATACTTGGGTCACTTATAGTATACTCAGTGATAAAGTAGAGTACTGGCTTAGAGATGCTGAAGCTGAGCTGAAAAAGATCGAGGTGCCATCAGGGCCTAGAGGCCATTTGCGACGTTTCTGGGAAATCAAAGCTCAACACGAAGTCCAAAACTCAGCTAGACTCAATGCTGGTAACGCCTTGGAAAAATCTCTGCAGATCGTTCCAATCAGTGATGAAATGTACCAGAGAAGGTGTAATGCTGACCTCAACACGCAATGGCAGCAAATCTCGAAGAGAATTAGCGATATAGAAGCATCTATATTGGAAACAATTTCGGCTACTGATGTTCCTGTCAATGAAAAACTCATTTTCTTAGAACAAGAATTATTAGAGTTGAACTTAGATGTAGATAACCTGAAAGGAATCATAAAGACTGAAGAGGAATTGAGTTTATATGTAGAAAGATTGCAGATAATGTCGACTAGGTTAGAAACAATCCAAAATGAACTGAGTAGGCTAGGTTTGTTATCAGCAAATGAATCTGATAAGGTTGGGTCTCTACTTGCCTTGTCGAAACGACTCGAAATGATCATAGTAGAGGAGCTCGAGAATGGGAACCTAATCAAGGCTCATCTTCATTCAATACAAAAAGGTTGTGACAGAGTTGGCAGAAAACACTCTGAGCTAAGCAGAGCTCTGGATGTGTGTGAATGCGCTGAGAAACTGGGAAGTGACTCAGTAGAAAAAGCTGTCAACGAATGTTATGAAATAGGAGAGGAGCTAGTGACCCTTTGGCAAGACCTACTGAGTATCCGTCAGTTGCTGCACACTCTACCCATGAGGCTGAAGGTCACTCTGTCGCCGACTGCTCTGGAGAAGACGATATCTATCCTTCAGGACGACCATACAGCTCTAGAGAAGAAGTGCCGGAATATCTTGGAGCTTCTGAGGAGCAGGTTGGTGCTCTGGCAGAGATTCGAACGGCAACTGGAGCTGGTACAGCAGAGTGTGCAAGAAGCCGACTTCATGGTAGAGTTGTTGACCGTTCAAGGAACTGTGGATTATGAGAGATTGAGGAAAGCAACTGAAAGATTGGAGGTGAGTTGTTTCTGATATTATGTCTAGGGTTATTCCTCAACTATGGCTTATAACTATAGTTTCTATCCGCTCCATTATTTAATCACATTTTATGGTGAAGTTTATGCAAAGTCAGTTGAACTTTCAAAGAGACCGACGGCTTGCGGTGATGTGTTTTTCCAACTGAATTTGCATAAACTATCGTCTCAAGAACTGAAATCAAAAAGTGTGCGGTAAGATGGCACTAGTTGCAGATGAATCAGTATGTATCGCAAGCAAAGCCATCGGGTAAATGGAAAAAAATCTAATATTTCATTTTTTATTTCGAAGGTTCGTATAGTGATTACGATAAATTGAAGTTGACTGACCATAATATCAATTTCCCCAAACACTGTTATTGGAATTATAAGAAGGTTTCTTAAAAGGAATAATATGTGGGGTGATGGGGTGTCTCATTTGAAAAAATAACTCGAGATAGCGCTCAGCTGCTATTTCTAAACTTTTAGCTGTCATTTTCCATAAAAATGTAAGTCTTCTATCCGAGCCCTCCAGATTTCGTTACGATATACCAGGTGATTCAAAAATCAGTAAGGGGACGGACTTCAGACTAGGGCTGTGCAAAAATATCGATATATCGAATAACGATATCATCAAAATAATATATCGAAATATCGATAAATATATATCGATAAATATCGATACCAGATCAAACACTTCAGACAGACATCATGTTTAAAAACGTGAAAATCAGTGTTCTGACTATATTAGAGGGCAATACATACAGTGTGTGCGACTCCAACCCGCAACGCCCTCCTAATTTGAAACTTGTCGACCGATTTTCAAAAACAAAAATTCTATAATACTCAACGAGCTCTCTTCGAAAATGTGGACAACAGGACCGTCTTTCACGTATCAGAGGCCCTGGGCACATTAGAATAATGGGGCCCCTATGACCATAATAAAGTACTATTATGTTAGAATAGACAAATAACGCAGAAATGCAAAGTTTTAGCATTATTTTTATTTCTTTACATTTATATTAGATATGATGAATTGATTTTATCATGTAATCCACACTAAGTAACCAGCATCCACGATTAGTCCTTATCCTCCTTATATCAAGTATCTATGCTGATTGAAGAGGAACCCTTCTAGATTTGAATTGAGCAAAATCGTTAATAACATCCTCAAAATTTATGTTTTCGAGCATATCACATTCTATCGGCATAAGCGACAAACTATTCAATCTCTCTTGAAGCATTGTCCTTGTTAATTCACTTTTTATTCGTTTTAATTTGGAGAAGGAGCGTTCCCCACTGCAGTTAGTTACCATCATACTTAGAAAGATTCTCAGTGCGATTTCTACATTAGGAAAAGGTGTCTTCAATTTTGCTCTCTTTCAAAAGATTATATGTATATTTCCAGTATACCATTTTTTAATTTTTACTCTGATCAATTTTCAAGTAGCTATCGGGACTAGGGGGCCCCAATCATCGCGGGGCCCTGGGCACGTGCCCAGTGTGCCCAGTGGGAAAGAGGGGCCTGGTGGACAAATATGAAATATTCAGATTTTCAAGACCTACTTTTATTTGTTGAATTCTATAATACTCAACGAGCTCTCTTCGAAAATGTGGACAAATATGGAATATTCAGATTTTCAAGACCTACTTTTATTTGTTAAAGGGGTCAAAATTTCAAAAACGACTATTAGGCAATTTTTTCCGGAATATTGACTAGCCTATTTGATTCAAGCATAGCTCAAATACCTCCATCCAAAATTTGAACACAATATCTCATATAGGGTGTTAGTTATTCAATGGCAAATTTCAAAATTCTCGCTTTTTCGATTCACCCTGTAATAAAATCTATGGAATCAATATAACCGGTGAGGAGGTCATTCAATGGAGAAACACATAGAATACTTAGATACGGAGTTTTTGTTTTTTATACACTATACCACACAGTAACATTGAGAATCGTATCTTTTGATGAAGAGTTGTCGAATACAAAAAAAATTACGAGCACTTGCCGAAGATGCAACGAGATATACTGATGCTTGATATGATAATATTATTATACCGATTTTGGCGAAATAAAATGAAAATTTCATATAACAATGAAAATTGTTATGTATGGAGAATATCTTCACGACTTAGTTACTTTCATTTATATTTCCAGGAAAAACAGATTGTTGTTCTAAAATTGATCTTAGCCATCATGCGGTCGTGGTGCGAATCGACCCACCTACCGGCAATCCAACGTGGATAGAATACTGACGCTTCAACCACGAGGCTACGCTGGATTGTAACAAACTGTTTCTCAACTTCAATTTCATCAATTTTTGATAAACCTACAGATATCTTCCTGTAGAAGTTACAACGTTGAAACTTCGTATCTAAGTATTCGATGTGTTCTTCCATTGAATGACAGCTTCACCGGTTATATCAACTCCTCAGATTATGATACAGGGTGAATCGAAAAATGAAATATTACAGAATTTACCATCGAATAACTAACACACTATATGACATATTGCGTTCAAATTTTGTATGGGGGTATTTCAGCTATGCTTGAATCGAATGGGCTAGTCACTGTTTCGAAAAAACTTTGCCTAATAGTCGTTTTTGAAATTTTGACCCATCAACGAACAAAAGTGGGCCTTGAAAATCTGAATATTTCACGTTTGTTCACATTTTTGAATAGAGCTCGTTGAGTACTATATTATGCAATTTATGTTTTTGAAAATCGGTGTTGCGGGTTGGAATCGCACACACTGTACTCATATTCATCAGCAAGAGCAGAGTTCGAGAATGCCAAGAATGTCATCAGATTTTGTCTTTTTAAGCCAGTTGCATGAAGCTTCTAACTGACGATTGAATATTCAATTTTTTTCTATATCCATGACAACGTAGATATGCCTCAGATAGGAAGGTTGATTCCTCGTTAAGTTAACAGAGAGCTTTGTTCAACCTTAATTAATTATTCTGATGTAGATTTATATCGAAACTTGCTAGAGAGCTATATCATTAATCGAAACAATTCTGACAAAGAAAACTTTGACTTTGCACGAACGTCACAAACATATGAAAAAATTAATTACCATTACCATTACCATCAAACACATTCCCAAACGATATTGAATAACTTTCATTATTGCACATGTAAAAGTTGGTATATCTACGAAAACGCAAAAATCAAACCGAGTCAAGATGCAATAGCTCTAGAATGTCAAGTATAGGATTCAAAATCACTATGAAATACAGGGTGTTCCATTCGATTGAAAAAAGTTGATGTCACTTCCGGTTCAAGTGGAATTGATGACGTATTGAAAATATCTCTAAAAAATTAGTCACATCGCCCAATATAACGCAATGAAAATTCCAAGTTGTTATCATGTTCAGTTCTCTATAAACCTCTATAATGAATCTGTTAAGTGAATTATACCCTGATGTATAATCATTACTACTCGAGTAACTTGAGTTACTAAAACTGGTTTCATCGATTATTATTATCGGAATTTTTCTGAATTTGTCATCGCCATTATACCTAACTGATAAGGAAAGTTATATTTTGATTCTCAATTTTTCATGCATCAGCTCCAGTGCATCTGCGGTCTTTCATACTTTATGTTAAGTTGTCCAAAAATAACCCTTGCCGCAATGAATTCCTCACGTCACTCTCGATAGAACTCTTAAAATAACGACCAATTTATTGAAATACATTTTTCTTTTCTATATCATACAGCATACAGGGCACCTATATCCTTTCGTGCGCTCCAAGCGATAAAAAAAACTTATAAATAGGTTGTGCTTCCAGAGTATAAAATTTGAACCTCATTTCCAACTGCGCCTATGTAACGTATACTACATTTTGGAATAAATGGATTTTTCTGTGTTACTGCAAAAAAAATCGGACACGTCAATTTTGTTTTATTGTTCGAAGACCGATATTTTTGACGATATAAGAAATACACAGGTTGATGTACCTATAATCTGTTCAAAAAAATAGAGAAATGTGCTGTATGCTGTATGTAGATACTATAATATTTTCGCGATAGAAAATAACACGTCGACCTTCCTGAAGGCAATAACATTTTATAAGTACCTATACAAATATTCCAACGAAGATGTTCTTATTGTTCTTAATAGTCGACTATATGACTTTCAACGTGACTCGAGAGAAGCACAATGTTCTCCTGAAATGGTTTCATTTTCTATTTCTGATATGGAACACTAAGGCGCGAATCTGCCTGGTCGGTCTAGGAGACTTATGTGGGGGCGAGCGCGCGAGCGAGGAAAGTTGCAGGATTTCGAAGGAAATCACAAAGTCCTTAGTACTGTCCTGAAAATTCGTGTACTTGTAGTATGTCACGTCAGAAAGATAGTTTGACAACTGAAAGACCGTTTTCGGGGAATGAAGTACCGACAGACCACGTCGAAGTTTCGAAAAAAGTCGGAGAATCAACGTGATAAAATAAAGTCTTGAAATTCGAAAAATATTGATTTTAAAAAATATCTTAAATTTTTCAATATTGTTGTATCATAATTATGTATATCACTGAAATTTTATGGGTACAACTAAGAACATCGGTATGTATGAATCTTGGTATGAAAGTATCGTCGTTGAATCTTGATCGACATACAGAGTGGAACATATTATAAAATAACCAACAAAAATGAGTAAATCATGAGTATTTCAAGAAAATATGAGCACCTTCCCGTATCTCCCTTCACATATATCTAGCAAATGTAAGATCTTTTATACAGTGTGACCCACTTCTAATGGAACCACCCCTGTATCTTAGGTAATCGTTGGGTAAGGATCCTGAAATTTGCTGGAGCGAGAGATATACCAAAAATGCACTCTATGACCAAGTGGGGTCATCTTCAGTGATATACACTGCTCGCCAACAGCCATGAAACTACCCCAATTTCCGGAAAATGATATTAGGAGTCAAAATAGGTCGAAAATTACTTCAGATTTGGAATCAGGACGCCCAATTTACTAACTACTTATTCAAA